GGGGGGGCATGCATAAGTGCACCAACGTGCCTACCGTCCCTGTCCTCAATTATTTGTACCCATTTCATGTATTCTTACTCATGTTTATATTTATACCTATTATCTTGTAAGCGACTGACAAATAAAATAAAATAAAATAAAAAATAAAAGGAGGAAGGGAAGAGGGAAGGAAGGAGAGAAAGAAAGGAAATGGAGATAAGGAAGGTCATGGAAGAGGAAGGAAGGATGGATTAAAATATCTGCTGTCTGTTGCGCGTGCAACCCGCAGCCCCTCCCCTCCCCCCCCCCCAAAAAAAACTTCGTGACTTTCTAGACCACAATGGGCGAGCGCGCTGCGGGTGCGCGCGCGCGTGTTGCGTGCTTGGACGGGGGGGGGGGGGTGGACTAGATGACCTCCAAGGTCCCTTCCAACAAATTAGCTGTCGCGCATGCAACCGGCCGCCCTTCCCACCCTCCATCTCTCTCTCTCTCTCTCCCCCCTCAGGAACCTTTCCAACGTCCCTCCCGCCCCCCCCAAAAAACCCGCCAGCCTCAAACGGGGCGACGGAGGCGAGCGAAACGCCTCGCTCTCCCCGGGCGCCACTCCGGTTTGCCAACGGACGGGGCGAAGGACGCCTCCCCTTACCGGAATGGGGCCCCAGTCCTCCAGGCGACTCCCCGAATCCCGCCGTCCTCTGGGAAGGGCCCGAGAGAGCCGCTCGCAAGCCGGGGAGGCGCCTCTCCGACCGGCCGCAGCCAGGAATGGCGGCCAACACCCCGCGCCAGGCGCACGCGGTTCGGGGGGCGTGGCTTGGCGGCCATGTGATCGGGTGGGCGTGGCCAGCTGAACGCCACGCGCCTCCCGGGGGGTGGGTGTGCCTCGCCTGGCCCCGCCCCTCCCCGCCGTTCCGTCTCACGCCCGGCCTCCGCCTCACTCGAGTTCTGGGGAAATGGGGTTCACCCTTTTTGGGGGGGGGGGCTTTAGGATCGACATCGGGGGTCCCCAAGTGGAGTTCCCCCATTACTCCAGAGGTGAAAACGGGGTGAAAGAGACCTCAAATTAAATGAAAATAGCGGTTTTCAAAGTATGGGAAATTGCATTGACAATAATAGCCCGCCATCCCGTGGCCATTTTGCGTCATGGCAGGTGGAGGAAAGAAATAATAATAGCCCGCCATCCCGTGGCCATTTTGCGCATGGCAGGTGGAGGAAAGAACTTAATCATAATAGCCCGCCGTCTCGTGGCCATTTTGCGTTATGGCAAGTGAAGGACAGAAATTGCACAGCAAAAACAGCCTGGCACCTGGTGGAGGTTTTTCATTATGGCAGGTGCAGGGAAGGAATCGCGAAAGTTAATATAAATAAAAAATAATCAGGTTACAGATCTGGCGAAATCCGACGTGGGATCTTACTCTGAGTTCGCTCATTACTCTAGAGGTGAAAACGGGGTGGATGAAACCTCAAATTAAATGAAAATTGCGGTTTTCCAAGTCTGTGGGATTAAGGCATTAAGAATAGCAGCCTGCACCCCAGCCCCATCTCTTGGCCTCCCCCAGTCCCCATCAACCCTCAAAAGAAGCTGGCAAAAGAGGCTCTGGGGATGCCCAGGGATGCCCCGGGGGGGGGCTTGGATGCCCCAGGCCTTGCTAGGGCCTCCCTGCCAGCCTCCCGATACCATGGCTGGCTCCCGGTCTTTCCCCCACCTCCTGAGGGTGACCCACCACACAGAGATTTTCTCTGTGCAGCCCTCGCTTCTAAGCGGGCATGTACAAACATCTATTTGAAATTAACTTCCAAGATTAGGAATTTGGGATAATTTGGAATTTGGAATAATAAACATCAATTATGTATATAATAAACATTGATAATGTATATAATAAACATCGATTATGTATATAATAAACATCAATTATGTATATAATAAACATCAATTATGTATATAATAAACATTATGTATATAATAAACATCGATTCCTTCAGGATCTTTCATTTGCAATCACACCATTATTTGTAAAAGGACTAATATTTATCTGGTCACGAAAGGGGATTCAGAATAATTCAATCATTAAAACAGAACTATTATAAAAGGAAAGGGATTCTTTTAACGTGAGAAAAATTTACCAATTCTTTTTTAAAAAAAACCTCACTTGTTTCTATAAAGATCTGGAATTCTGTATCCATGAGGGGTTATAAAAATATGGAACTGGGCTGGTCAAGGGCCACGACAACCGTTTTAATTCAATCGCTTGATAAAATAAATAAATATTTTAAACAAAAGTTAGCATTCAAGCGATGGACTCGAGCTTGGATGGAGAGAGGGAAATAGCTTCCCCTTCAGCCTCTCCGCCACCTGAGTCTGAAGGCAATATTGACCTTAACTAAGGGTTAGTTTTACAAATATGGAGATTGGCTGTGAAGCGGCAACTACAATTGTTTCAATCCTTACTTAAACCAAGTTCGGGATTCAAGGGATGAACTCGGGATTGAACTGGGAGAGGAAAAACATCTGGACTTCGATTAGGTTTTTCTCAGCCCCATCTTTGGATTTGAGTCCCTTCTACAAAATCAGACACAAATGAAGGAAGCCATGGACATCAAAACCATTCGTGAAATTAGACAGGTCCTGCGATACAGAAGCAAGTCAAACAAGAGAAAAAGGAGGAGAGAGTGAACTGCAAATGGGGGGAATTCAACCCCATCCCCTGAATGGCTTACAAATCAGATTGCATAAATGGAGCCATGTTGAAAGGCACCGTTATATGTCATATTTCTTTGTCAGTTGTAAACATACCAATGAGAGGTTCTCCTGCCCTGTAATTGTTCCACGTCTTTTTCCATTATGGTGCTCCACAGTGGTAGGATTCAAATTTTTCTTTTTTACTACCGCTTCTGTGGTTGTGGCTTGGTGGGTATGGCAGAGGAAGGCTACTGCAAAATCCCCATTCTCTTCCCACCCCACTAACCTGCTTTCCAGCTCCATTCTCCTGGGCAGGGCAACCAAAGAAAACCCAGCCAATCAGCTGGGGCTTGGGAGGCAGAGAAGAGATGGGGTTGGCGGGGTCAGTCAGAGGCGGTATTTGCCGGTTCTCTGAACGACTCGAACTTTCCGCTACTGGTTCTCCAAAGCTTATCCCAGAGAAAGGAAACGTATGGGAATATTTAGCAAGGGAAATACCCAACACCACTAACTTTTACTTAGCAGGAGGGAAACCAGTCAAGGGCATCTTAACCACATGCCTAATGGGAGTAGCAACTAGACCACATAACATCATTAACTACACCATTTAGAAACCTTCCTGATTCCTACTGTAGCAGTAGAAAAATTACACATAAAGCACTTTTATATTTAGCAGAAGTCCCCCAATTCTCCAAAGCTTTGCTTAATACAATATTGTGCAAAACCACAAAGTTACTGAACCAAGGTACTAGCCATGTTCCAGTAAGCAAGGGTGCCTATGGAAAACAACAGATGGGGTAAGATAAAATGAATAATTAAATGTACTTCCCCTTTTTGGGTATAGTTTAATGAGAGAAACGCCCTGGGCTAAACTGAGGTCACAAAATGTATAAAAGTGGTGCCTCAGGAAGAGCCAGGGGTTCAGAATTTGCCATTCTAATGCTCTGAACCTTTTGCACAAATAAAACCTGTATTCTCCAACCTTTCGTGGTCTTGTATCCTGATTTGGAAGCAGGATTTCCTGCTACACTACGAAAGCATTTTTAGCTGGGGCCACTCTACAAAAAAACCAAAGACCACACCATGTACACCCTACACATTGCTGCAGTAACCACCTCTGAGATTACAAAAGGGACAGGCAGGAGATTGCCACAGAACAAATATGAAAAACTATCTTAAAGCTAAAAGAGATTACAGAAAACCAATAATACAATCTGGCCACCCTGCGGAGTTTGCCCTCCGGCGGAAACAAAGACAAACTCAAACAGGATTTGAAACATTAGGCACAAATACACTCAAAATCAACTTACAAAGGGAGAAAAGGGTATAAAAAACCAGGGACTTACCATAAGAAGCTAGCTAGCCCAGGAACGCAGACTTCTCGCTGTTCTCCGCCTTCCTGAAAAATAAAAAGATCCAGCTTTCAAGCAGTTGTCCATATCCTTGCGCGGGAGCTCTCCCAGCGGGAAAATCGAATCCTCGAAAGAAAGGCATTTTGACACCTTTCAACAAAGCAATGGATGGAAACTAATCAAGGAGAGAAGCAACCTGAAATTAAGGAGAAATTGGGACAGCTTTGCCATCAGAAGTTGTGGGTGCTTCCATCACTGGAGGCTTTTAAGAAGAGATTGGACAGTCACTTGTCTGAAATATTATAGAGCAAGGGTCTTCCAACTTGGCCAAGTTTAAGACTTGTGGACTTCAACTCCCAGAATTCCTGAATTAACATGACTGGAGGAGGAATTTTGGGAAGTTGAAGTCCACAAGCCTTAAATGCTGTCAAGTTTGAAGACCCCTGGTATAGGGTCTCCTACTTGAAGGGGTTGGACTAGATGACCTCCAAGGTCCCTTCCAGCTCTATTCTTATTGGTTAACGTTTCAGGTAGGTATCCCACACAGGTAGTCCTCGACTTACGACCACAACAGAGAGAGACCAACATTTCTGTTAAGTGAGACCTTTGGTAAGAGAGTTTTACCTCATTTTTAACCCCCTTTTTTGCCGCAGCTGTTCAGTGAAGCCCTGCCGGTTGAAAAATTAATAACCCTTTTGTTAAGAGGGTGGGCAAAGCCGGACTCACCGGGCCCGCTAGGCCTGCGGCTAGAGAAAGCTGAGGGAAAATAAACCTGGGTCGTTTGGGGGGAAAAGCTCAGCGAGGAACCGGAAGTGGGGGGAATGGGAGGACCGCTTTCGCGACTGGACAGGAAGCGTGAGGTTCGGCCATGCTGGGAAGGGCACAGAACCGGAAGTGGGGGAATGGGAGGACCGCTTTCGCGACTGGACAGGAAGCGTGAGGTTCGGCCATGCTGGGAAGGGCACGGAACCGGAAGTGAGGGGGACAGCTGACGCGGGAGGACTCGGAAACCAGGAGTGCTCCGCTTCCTTTAACCCTCGTCCCGTTGCCCGAAAGGACGCGGGATCCTCAGCCAGAGGGCGCGGGATGGCGCTGATCGGGACGGCGGCGGTTTGGGGGGCGGCGAGGGGAAGGGGCGGCGCGGCGCTGCTTCAGGTGAGCGAAGGGACCCTCTCCGGCTGCGGGCTCGGACTTCTCAAGCTTCTAGTCCTCAGTGAGGTGGGGGGAGCCCGACCGCGCTTGCCTCCTTCTCCGACTCTGCTTCCTTTCGCCTTCGTTTGCAGATCCGCCGCAGAGCTCACGCCAGGGCGGCTGAAGAAGCGCCGGCGGCGGAGGCGCCCCCGCGCCTGAAGAGGTTCGCCGTGTACCGGTGGAGCCCGGACAACCTCGGGGAGAAGCCCCGCATGCAGACCTACGAGATAGACCTCAACAAGTGAGTTGCCCCCACATTCCCGAAGGGCGGGGTGGGTGGGGCCGCCGCCGGGTACCAAAAACCGCTGCCCCCGGGGCAGGCTGGCTCCTCTTGCTCCGAGCAGTCGGGCTGAACGCGGACCGAAAGGCTGTAGGTGAGCAAAGCTAGAAATCTCTAGAAAAAAAGAGTTCAGAGAAGAGCAAGGAAGATGACTAGGGGACTGGAGGCCAAAACACGTGAAGAAAGGTTGCGGGAACTGGGTGTGTCTAGTCTGATGACTGCCATCAGGGCAGTGTTCCAATATCTCAGGGGCTGCCCCAAAAAAGAGGGAGTCAAGATCTTCTCCAAAGCACCTGAGAAGGCAGGACAAGAAGCAATCAAAATGGGTAGGAAACTAATCAAGGAGAGAAATCCATCTAGAACTAAGGAGAAATTTCCTGACAGTTAATTTGCCTCCTGACTTTGTAAATGCTCCAACACTGGAAGTTTTTAAGAAGAGATTGGGCAACCATTTGTCTGGAGTGGTGTAGGGTTTCCTGCCTAAACAGGGGGTTGGACTAGAAGACCTCCAAGGTCCCTTCCAACTCTTTAATGAAAAGAAGGACTAGGCATGACATGATAGCGGTTTTCCTATATTTGAGGGGCTGTCAGAGAGGGGAGGGGTCCACCTATTCTCCAAGTCACCAGAAGGCAAGACAAGAAGCAGTGGATGGAAACTGAAGAAGGAAGGGTTCAACCTGAAAATAAGGAGGAATCTTCTGACACAACAACCAACCAATGGAACAGTTTGCATAATCTCCCATCTGCAAACTGTGCAAAACGTCCCCTTGGAAGGGTGGGGGTGAAGAGGGGCTGGCACTTCCTGGCAGCTGGTAGCTTGTCCTTTTCCAGATGTGGCCCGATGGTTCTCGACGCCTTGATCAAGATCAAGAATGAAATGGATTCCACCCTGACTTTTCGCAGGTCCTGCCGAGAAGGTGAGAGTGGCCGCTTTTGTGGTCTGGCTCTGGAGGGCAGATAATCAGGAGGAGGAAGAGGAGGCTGTAGGTTTGACCGTCGTCCCAAAATCTTGCTTTTGCTCTTGGAAAGCTCATTTCTCTGTCTCCCCGCAGGCATTTGTGGCTCATGTGCCATGAACATAAATGGAGGGAACACTCTGGCTTGTACCAAGAGGATCGACACCAATCTCAGCAAAGTCACCAAGATCTATCCTCTCCCTCACATGTATGTGGTGAAAGATCTCGTGCCTGTAAGTCCAGGGCAGATGAGAAGGGGATGTATTGGGGGCCTCAGTTTTCAGAACCTCTATCGTGCGCTGGCCATGCTCGGTCAACCCTCCACCTGCCTTTTTTTCCTGTGGACAGCAGACTGGATCTCAACATGATTTCCCTCTGCCAGTCAGCCAGATGTTCTGGCCATCTGGCTTCTGCACGGGGCTCCTAGGTTCCTCCACCCACCCCTACCCGTTTTGTGCCTGGCAGCCTTCACCTCACTACTGTCTAGCTCAGAGGTCTCCAAACTTGGCAACTTGAAGACTTGTGGACTTCAACTCCCAGAATTCTCCAGCCAGCATAGTTGAAGTCCACAAGTCTTAAAGTTGCCAAGTTTGGAGGCCTCGGCTCTAAACTGCTTAGAGTGGGCTGTGAAGCACTACGGTAAGCATATAAGTCTATTTGCTATTATTCCAAAAACTGTTTCTCTTCAATCAGAGTTTGATGCAATGTGTAAACTCAGGCTGTGTTTGTTCTCCCTCCTTCAGGACCTGAGCAACTTCTACGCCCAATACAAAGCTATTCAGCCATACCTGAAGAAGAAGGACGAGTCAAACCAGGGCAAAGAACAGTATTTCCAGTCCATAGAAGATCGGGATAAGCTGGTCATTGCTATTTCCTTCCTGCCTCTTTTAGCTCGACGGCAGTGCTCAGCAGTCACTGCTGTTTTGGAGAACTACTGCCTCTCCTGGCCGGCCCTTATAGCTCCTTGGTGCCTCACCGAAACCTCGTGATGGATAAGAGTGCACTTTCTCCTCCTCCCTCCCCTCTTCTCGGGAATAGCCGAATGCTGGAAGGTGCTCCCCGAATGCGTGGCGAGCGCTGGATTTCGAAAGGCCTCCTGGTTCCCCCAGGCCAACCCTAAAAGAGTTTCCTTGGAGTCACGGAAGAGGCTGCATGATGAGAAGCAGGGGAGGAGGGAGGCTGCTTTCCTCCCAGCAGAGAGAGAGTGGAGGGAGAGAAAGAAAGAAAGAAAGAGAGAGAAAGAGAGAGAGAGAGAGAGAAAGAGACAGAGAGAGAAAGAGTAAAAGAAAGAAAGAAAAGTGAAAAAAAGACAGAGTGGAAGGAAGAAAGATAGAAAGAAAAAAAGAAAGAGAAAGATAAAGACAGAGAGTGAAAGAAAGAGAAAGAAAGAAAAGAAAAGTGAAAAAAGACAGAGTGGAAAAAAGAAAGGAAAGAAAAAAGGAAAGAAGAGAGAAAGATAAAGAGATAGAGAGAGAGTGAAAGAAAAGAAAGAAAAAGTGAAAAAACAGAAAAAGAGAGTGAAAGAAAGAAAGGGAAAAAATGAAAGAGAAAGATAGAGACAGAGAGAAAGAGTGAAAGAAAGAAAAAGTGGAAAAAAAAAGACAGTGGAAGAAAAAAGGAAAAAAAAAGAAAAAAAAGAAAAAAGGAAAAAAACAAAAGTGAAAAAAGACACAGAAAGAGAGAGTGGAAGAAAGAAAGATAGAAGGAAAGAAAGAAAGAAAAAAGAAAGAAAGGAAAGAGAGAGAGAGACGGGAGGGAGGGAGGCAGGCTGGTGGGCTGCAGGGTCACCCTGTCTGTCTCTTCAAGGAATCCGCCTTCTCCCTCTCGGCCTCCCTCATGAGGCGTCTCTTTTGCTCTCCCAGGACGGGCTCTACGAGTGCATCCTCTGCGCCTGCTGCAGCACCAGTTGCCCCAGTTACTGGTGGAACGCGGACAAGTACCTGGGCCCAGCCGTGCTCATGCAGGTAAGGGGGCCACTGGGAAGCCCTTGGCTGGCCGCTGTTTCAGCAGGGCGCTGGATTGGGAGGTGGGCCTCTGCTCTAAGGCAGGGCGGGCGGGGGGGGGGGGGGGAAGCAGCTCTTCCCAAGAGCCTCTGCTCCCTCAGGCCTATCGGTGGATGATTGACTCCCGGGACGATTACACGGAGGAGCGCCTGGCCCAGCTGCAAGACCCTTTCTCCCTCTACCGCTGCCACACCATCATGAACTGCACGCAGACTTGCCCCAAGGTGCGTGCTGGGACCAGGCTCCCCCCTCCCCCCCCCGGGTTGGGGAGCCCACTGGGCGAGCGGAGCCGGTTCCAGAACCGTGCCCCAAGCCCACCGTTTCCCTCCTCTCTCTCCCCCTCACCCCCATCGCTTTTTCTCCCTTAGGGCCTGAATCCCGGGAAGGCAATTGCCGAAATCAAGAAGATGATGGCCACGTATAAAGAGAAGGTGGCCCACGGCTAGCGGCTTCCCCGTGTGCCTTCCTGTTGAGAGGAGGGCGGGGGGGAGCTTTAATTTATAGCTGGGTTTTCAGTGGGGTCACAGATTCCCCCTTGCTTGTTGTGGATTTGTACATTGAAACCTGTAAAGACTAATTAAAAAAAAACAAAACAAAAAAAACCAGTTTCCTACTTTGTCCCTCTCAGTGGTGGGATTCAGATTTTTTTATTACGGTTCTGACTTGGTAGGCGTAGCAGGGGAAGGATACTGTAAAATCTCCAGTCAGAGGTGGGATTTGCCGGTTTCTCTAAACCAGGGGTCTCCAACCTTGGCAACTTTAAGCCTGGAGGACTTCAACTCCCAGGATTCCCTAGCCAGGGGAGGAAAATAAAAACATTCTATTTGCTAAGTGTAATGGGACACACAAGGAATTTGTCAGAACAGAAGTTTCCTTCAGAAGTTGTGGGAGTTTCATCTCTGGAAGCTTTCAAGAAGAGACTGGACTGCCCTCTGTCAGAAATGGTGTGGGGTCTCCTGCTTGGGCAGGGTGGGTGGGCTAGATGACCTACAAAGTCCCTTCTAACTCCATTAATCTGTATATCTGTGATGCATAAGGTCCCACTGTAAACAGCCACCGGCTTAAGGTTGACTCGGCCTTGTAATCCTTCCAAGTTGGGTAAAATGAGGACCCAGATTGTTGGGGGCAAAAGACTGCAAAACGTTTAGAGAAGGCAGGAAAGTGGGATATAAGTCTAAGGGCTATATAATTTTGTTCTATTGTACTTTACTAATTGATTTGATTCTCTTTGTTAGTTCTTGTTTTTATTTTTGTTTTAAATATGATTTTACATTGTGTAAGCCACCTTGAGTCGCCATGGGCGAATAGGTGGCAATATAAATAAATAAAATAACGATAAATCATAAGCAGCCAATTGGAGGAGATAGCAGGAAAGAAGAGAAAAGAGGAAAAACGAAACAGCGCTGCGGGGATAAAATAAAGTAAAGTAAAATAAAAAATAATATAATATAAAATAAAAATAAAATAAAATAGATAAAATAAAATAAAGTAAATAAAATAATAAAATAAAAATAAAATAGATAAAATAAAGTAAATAAAATAAAAAAAATAAAATAGATAAAATAAATAATAAAATAAAATAGATAAAATAAAATAAATAAAATAAAATAAAATAAAAAATAAAATAGGGGGTCCCTTGGGAACCAGTGCAGGACCAGCGACCTTGGGCGCCTCAGGGAGGGGAAGGGGCTGTGCGTCGGCTCCGCCAGGACTACACCTCCCGGCAGCCTCCGCGAGCGCCGTGCCCCGCCCCCTCCGGGATCAGGTGCTGCAGAGGCTCCCGAGCTCGCCCCGCGCAACCTCCCCTTCGCCGGCAGCTCCTGGTGGGAGAGCGGAGCTGTCCACCTGCTGGAGCCGAGAGAGGGAGGCAGGCAAAGGCTTCGGCGGCTGCTCGGCGCTCGCAGCCAGGACGCCTCTCGCGGAGCCCCGCTGCCCCCCGCCTTGCCTTCTCGGGGCGCCCGGGACATCCTGCGGGGCGGTTTCCACCGGAGAATCGGCAGCTCCGCCCTGGGTCCTCCCTTCCCCCCCCCCCGGCTGGCGCAGGCCGGGCTCTTTCTCGATCGCGGGTTCAAGGCGCCGGGATAAGAGGTGGCAGGTGACACGTAGCGCCGCGGGGCGGCCCGGGTTGGGGCGGAAGGCAAGCGGCGAGCAGGGAGCCCGAGGCCGGGGAGGAAGCGGCTTTGCAAGCGGGGAACACCGCTGGCTCGAGGGAAGCAGGTGCCCTTTTGCCTTTGGGCCGAGGCTGTCCCGCTTCCCTCCCCCTTTCCAGGGGCCTGGCCCTTGGCTGCCGCCCGAGCTTGCCCTGACCTCCCCCCCCCCCCCCCCCCCCCCGCCCCAATTCAGCACTGGCCCCGAGTTCCCCCCTCCTTCATGGCCCCAAATGCTCGTGGCTGGGCTCAGCTTCCCCTCCTTTCCCAGGGGACGGGGAGGGAAGCTTGCCCTGAGTGCCCCCCACCCACCCCACACTGGGCCAGTCCCTTGGCCCGAGTTCCCCCCTCCCCAAAAATGCTGCTCTACCTACATGTCTGGGGTTCAGCTTCGCCTCCTTTCCCATGGCGGGGTGGGGTGGAAATCTCAGCCGCAAGAGATGTCCCTTGATGAGCCAGCCAAAGCCTTACCGGACTCTCCCCGGCTTCCTTCCAGGGGCTGCCATCCTGCCAAAGTCCCGGCTCTCGTCTTTTCTCCACCTGGCTCCGCTGAACCACCCGGCAGGTAAACCCTGGAGTCAAAAGTCCCAGGTACACGAGTGGGACAGAGGATGTGTTGAGCCAATGGGACCAACCACTTCCGGCCCTGCCTGTGTAGAGCCCACCAATAATAATAGCCCAGGAAGACTAAGAAACACGTCTTTCCTGCTCTCCCTGTTTGGCCGGCTACCGATGATGGCGGGTACGAGGCTCCGATTCTCTTGAGGATTTTTGGGAATGCTGGAGGGTCCAATGGAGGCTGCCGAGCACGCCAGGATCTTGCCAGGTAAGAGGCAAAAGCGCTTAAAGAGAGAAGTGGGGTGGGAGCCAAAAGCCAGCTCTCCATCTCTTGCAAGATACAGGATCAGTCCCATGAAAGGGAGGTGATCCAACCAGCACCAGGCGGCCTCAGAATGGGGAGGCTCTGGCTTAAACACACCTTGGGTTGGAGTTTACACTCTCTTTATCTTGGGCGTGAAAATAGGCTCCTGTTTGATTTGGGGAGCCCTCTGGAAGTCTTTAAGGGGGACGCGGTGGCTCAAGGGCTGAGATGCTGGGCTTGTTGATCAGAAAGGTCGGCTGTTCGGCGGTTCGAATCCCACAGAAGGAAGCTCCTGTGACTTGTCCCAGCTTCTGCCAACCTAGCAGTTGGAAAGCATGTAAAATGGAAGTAGAAAAATAGGGACCCCTTTGGTGGGAAGGGAACAGAACTCCGTGCGCTTTTAGTCTTGCCGGCCACATGACCATGGAGACGTCTTCGGACAGCGCTGGCTCTTTGGCTTTGTGACGGAGATGAGCACCGCCTCCTAGAGTGAGGAAGAACTAGCACGGATGTGAAAGGAGAACCTTTATCTTTAGCTTAGCTGGAGGTCTTTCTTTTTCTCTCTGTTATTTCCCTCTTTTCCCCCTCCTGGATTGATTGTTTTTCCGAATGCACTTGAAATTCTCTTCCACCCAGCACCTTCAGCTCAGGTGCCCTTTTTAAATAGGACAAAACAGCCAGGCCTGTGCCCACACCATCATTGCTCTGACTCCAATGGGGGCGAGATGGCGCTTCCTTTCGGGGCCCAGGGGCAGAAGGGCACCCCTGCTGGATGAGGCACTTTTGCAGGAAGGGTTCGGCTGTGGGGGAGCAGGGCTGATTCTGCCCCCCTCTCCCCCAAAAAAGCCCAGGCCAAAGTGGATTTTCAGAACATCTCTTGCACTTGGGGCTCCACACACTTCACACTTGCGACCTGAATGACGACAAAACTTCCTCTGCGGCTCATGTTACAATATTTGGGGGGCTGCCACAGAGAGGAAGGAGTGCACCTACTTCCCAAGGCATCCAAAAGCCAGACAAGGAATAATAATGGATGGAAACTGACCAAGGAGAGATTCAACCTGGAAATAAGGAGGAATTTCCTGACCGTGAGAACGATCAACCGATGGAACACAAGTTGCTTCCAGAAGTTGTGGGAGCTTCATCCCTGGAGGCTTTCAAGAAGAGACTGTCAGAAATACTATAGGGTCTCCTGCTTGGGCAGGGGGTTGGACTAGATGACCTACAAGGTCCCCTTCCAACTCTGTTAATCTGTTTCTCATTGTTTTCAAACTTTTGGCCTCTCCCTTGGGCAGTCAGACCTGTTTTCCTACCTCAGTGCTGAAGTTCAACGCTGCCAGAGGAAGCAGAAATGGTGGAACTTTCCCGTCCGACGTCGTCGTCTCGTGCAAAGAGGAAAGCTCGGTCCTGCATGGGGCTGAGATTTATTTTTCCTACTTCCTCTTTCCTTTGTTAGGTAACAGCAGCCCTTCGGGGGGCCAGCAACTGAATTACCATTCTCTGGAGCAGAGCCTCTCTAAATCCTCCACGGTAAGAAAAGAGGTTCCAGACAGGTCACCTTTGAGGTGGGCAGGGGGTGGGAGGGAAGAGAAGTGGTGGGGGATTAGAGGGCCAAGGGAAGGTCAGTGCCTGCAGTCGATCCCGGGGAACTAGAAGAGGGCATTTCCAAAGACTTGTGGGCGGCCTTTTGCGGCTTGAGGTCAGTGCTCACGAGGAAGTGAGCTAAATTTGCATTTCTCTGAAGTCCTTTGTGTCCTGGAGGCTTGAAGAAATCCAGAAGCTGTCAATCACCATGGCTGGGCCCCGGAGGCTTCGGGTGTTACCAGGAAGCGTTCTCTTGATTTTCCCGCAATGAGTCAGGATTAGTCCAACGTGACCACGAACTGCCTGCCTGCCCTCAAGCGAAACCGACGTCGCTGGTTGCGGGCGAGGGGACTCTTGCCAATCGCGCTTCTTCCTTCCCCAGGAAGTGAAGGGTTACCAGAGGAAGATATGGAAGACCTGCCTCTGCCACTCGGTCTCCCTGCTCACTCTGGGGCTGCCCCTCGTCATCTTCCACTGGAAGCCGCACCTGGAAATCTACGCCAAATGCACTCCCTGCCCCCTGCGCCAGGCAGACTGGGTGCTCATCCGAGTAAGTGTCAGGAGGCAGGGCAAGGCAGGAAGGCCCCAGCCAGCTTGGGCACTGCAGCGAGCACCTGGCAGCTCCCGTGGCTTTGGACCACCCGTCTCCTCCTCTCCCCAAAGCCCCTGGCTCTTCCCCGGGGCAAGAGGCACTTCTGCCCTTCAGCTGTTCCCGCCCTCTTCTTCCAGGATCAGCAGGGACAGTGTTTCGCATCCAGGGTCCACACAGAGCAGATGGAAGATGGCAGGTGAGTGGCGCTTCCTGTGCATTTCCCGATTGGTAAAGGGTGTTGAGGGGGCTGTGGGGAACGGACAGACGGACATCAGGGGCTGCACCTGGAGTCAAGCCAGAAGAGAGAGAGGTGCCAAGAGGGAGGCCAACCAGGTACTCTGTACAGGTAAGAGGAAGGATGGAATAGAATAGAATAGAATAGAATAGAATAGAATAGAATAGAATAGAATAGAATAGAATAGAATAGAATAGAATAGAATAGAATTCTTTATTGACCAAGAGTGATTGGACACTCAAGGAATTTGTCTTTGGTGCAAATGCTCTCAGTGTTCATAAAAAGAAAAGATACATTTGTCAAGAATCAGTCATCAGGTACAACACCTAATAATAGCCATAGGGTACAATAAGCAATCAAATCATACTAGGAAACAGTCAATATAAATCGTTTGGATACAAGCGACAAAGTTACAGTCACAAGTGGGAGGAGATGCGTGATAAGGAGTGATGAGAAGATAAATAGTAATGGTAGTATAGACTTTGTAAATAGCTGGAAAGTATTGAAGGAATTATTTGTTTAGCAGAGTGGTGGCATCTGGAGGGGAAACTCCCCTTGTGTCTAGTTGTTCTGGTGTGCAGTGGTGTTGTTTTAAGGGAAGGAGTTGAAACAGTTTTATGTTCAGGATGTGAGGGGTCTGTAGATATTTTCCCAGCCCTCTTTTTGACTCATGCAGTGTACAGGTCCTCCATGGAAGGCAGATTGGTAGCCATTGTTTTTTTCTGCAGTCCTAATCTGGGGATGCGGCCCTAGATAAGATGCATCCATCTGCCCTGTCCTTGTTCCTGGACTCCCTCACCAGCTCAGCCCCCCACCCTTGCCCCACCCCCGGCTCCAGAGCCTCCTCTTAAAGAATAGAGCCCACCTTCCTGATTTCTGAAATCTCTTGACCTCTCCTCTCTCTTCCTTCCTGGGAAGCCTCGAATCCAGAACGGACGAAGGGAGAAGCGCTATCGCCGTGGGCGTTTCGGATGACCAAGCAAGAAGCCGGGACACCATACGGCTGCACCAGAAGGAAGAGGTCAGCACCCCAGGATGGATGGCCCTGGCTCCGTTCTCAGCAGCTCACCTGCAAAGGGGCCCATCTCCCTGAAGGCAGGCAGGGGCCCAGTCCTTTGGGGCACAGGGGCCTTCCCTGCTGTGCAGGGCCAGCTGCTGGTACTGCCGCCACCTTGGAGACCTTGATAACTTGCCTCCTTCTCCTCTCCTCTTTAGAAGAACGTCCTTCGCTATTACTCCTTCGAAGGCGTGCGCTATGTCTGGGTAGAAAGGCGGCAGGCCTACTGCCGGGCCAGGTGAGAAGTTCTCCCAGGGCCAAGGTGGCCTCTCTGCCGAATGCTTTCCTTGGCCGTAGCCGTGGGCCTGGCTAAGCCTAAAAACTGGCCTCTGGACCTTTCGCATTTTCATCTATCCAAGACGAAATGCAACCCGCCCCCTTTCTTCCTCCGTGTTTCGCAGCACGTTGAATGAAGGCTGGACGTGTTCCGATCTCCACCTCTCCTGCGGTGGCCTGAGCATCCAGGAGCAATCAGCCAGGTAGGTCCCGCCCTTTACGGAATGAATGAATGAATGAATGAATGGAATGAATGAATGAATGAATATCATCTGCATCTCTACAACTGCCTGGTTCGGTTCTGCAACCCAACAAGATGGACGCAGACTCCAGAGGATAATTAGGACTGCAGAAAAAAACAACGGCTACCAATCTGCCTTCCATTGAGGACCTGTATCCTGCACGAGTCAAAAAGAGGGCTGTGAAAATATTTACAGACCCCTCACATCCTGGACATGAACTGTTTCAACTCCTTCCCTTAAAACGACACTATAGAGCACTGCACACCAGAACAACTGGACGCAAGGGGAGTTTTTTTCCCCAGCGCCTTCACTCTGCTAAACAAATAATTCCCTCCACACTGTTCAGTTATTACAAAGTCTGCGATACTATCACTATTAATCTTCTCATCACACCTTATCACCCATCCCCTCCCACCTGTGACTGTAGGACTGTAACTTTGTCGCTTGTATCCTTACGATTTATTTTCTACATTGAAGTTGATTCCTGAAGATACTGGCTAACTGAACTGGGCTGTAGCTTTCCTAAAACTTCCTCCTCCCCTTGACAGAAAGATGATTTATGGTCCCAACCTGATTGATGTGCCGGTGAAGTCCTACCTCAGGCTGCTGATGGATGAGGTAAGCCACAGTTCAGCCAGTGGTTGAGCCGGCATGTCCGCTTTGAAATTCAGCTGCCACATTTAATGGAGGGAGGGGGAAGGAGGAGTTGAAAAGTTCAAGGTTGTTCTGTATGTCGTCCTAAGAAATTCCAGTTGCAGTTAATTGGTTCTCATGATTTATGAAGTGTGGAAGTGGGAGGAGAGAGAGGTGGATTCTGTGTAACGCTCGAAAATACTTTCACTTTGGGAAATTGCCTTAGATGTACCAGATCTGTTCCTAAATAAATCAACTGGCGAGAATATGTCTCGGAGTGATTGATATCATGGATACTTTCTGGATGCCTTACATGGTGGCCTTGCCATGGCGGCAATACAAGTGAGTGAGTGAGTGAGTGAGTGAATAAGGAAGGGCTGTCCTCCTTGGTCTGAAAAGCGCAGAACGGATCCTGCTTCTGTCTGGCTCTGTAACGGAGAACAGGAGCAATGATAAGGGATTAAACTCGTATGCCGCCTGACTCTCAGCACCTCTGGTCAGCCCACTAGAGCAAGTTAGAATGCAGTACTGCAGGCTAAGACTGCCAACTGCCAGCAGTTTGACCCTGACCAGCTCAAAGTTGACTCAGCCCTCCATCTTCCCGAAGTGGGTAAAATAGGACTCAGATTGTTGGGGACGATAGGCTGATCTGTAAATTGCTTAGAGAGGGCTGTAAAGCACTGTGAAGTGGTATAAAAGTCCCAGTGCTATTGCTACAAGAGCCACGATGACGCAGTGGTTAGAATGCAGTACTGCAGGCTAAGTCTGCCAACTAACAGCACTTCGATCCTTGTTGGGGGCAATCGGCTGACTCTGTAAATTGCAGAAGGCTGTAAAACACTGGAAGGCGGTATATAGGAATAACACTTAAGACTTATATACTGCTTCACCATGCTATTACAGCCCTCTCTAAGCGGTGTACAGAGTCAGCCTCTTGCCCCCAACGATCTGGGTCCTCCTTTTACCCACCTGAGAAGGATGGAAGGCCAAGTCAACCTTGAGCCTGGTGAGATTTGAACTGCCAAACTGCAGGCAGCTGGCAGTCAGCAGAAATAGCCCGCAGTACTGCACTCTAACCACTGCGTCACCTTGGCTCAGTATAAATGCTGAATGCTATTTTGGTCACTTCAGAAGGAGTTGTGTCATTCTGCGGAGAGGCAAGCATGAGGCCCCTCTGCAGAACCTTTGAGGCAGGAGGGGAAGGGGTCTCCCAGCTTGTCTGAATCATAGGCCCTGCGGGAGCTCATTGACTTAAGGGGGAGGGGGAAGCTCTGCAGAGACGGTGAAGGCAGAGACACCGATGAAGTGCTCAACGTACTCGCTTCCTGTCCTTCCTTGCAGATCTTGAACTTATTCTACCTTTTCCAAGTGTTCAGCATCATCTTATGGTTCTGTGAAGAATACTACTCCTACGCGGCCTGCATCTTTATCATTTCCACCATCTCCATCGGACTCTCCCTCTACGTCACCAAGAAGGTGGGCACTGGCCACAACTTCCCCCTCCCCCTTGGACTTGTGCGTCCACCCTGCCCCCCCTCAAGCCGGTCACTGAAGTGGGACGAGGGGCCGGCGGTGTCCCAGAGATGCCGCACCACTATTGCTTAGCCCCTGAGGCTGCGTTGACCAAGGCCTTGGTTCCTTCAGCAAAACAGGACTCTCCGGGACATGGCCAAAGTGGTGAGCAGCGTGCAAATCTGCCGACCTTCTGGAGGTGAGCAAAGGCATGGTGACCTCTCGGGCAGCAGCCTGGTGGATCTCAAGACCAGCTCTAGCCTGAAGCTGGACGCTCCTTCTCATCTGGGTCCTCCACCATTCCCTCATTCGGCACATCTTTCTGCCAGATTCCTTCCCACTGCACATGGTCTTTGTTGGTTCCTTCTGGGGCCTCAAGGACAAGGCACGTCCAAGCAGCCGCTTGCTCCTGAGAGCAATAGCTAGGAACTCGGGCACCACCTTTAAGTACCTAGACGACGGCACCTAAACAGGACAGTCAAATTCAGCTGCCCGCAAGGTGCCCGCATCCAGGAGAAGCTAAAAAAGGGAGATGCCCCTCCAAGGTCGAGAAGGGCCTGGCACAACTCTCAAGCCGATTCATCCAGGGGCGGGTGAGGGGGACATGGTCTGAGCTCCTTCCTTTCTTGGCTACCAGAGAAAGTGGTGGTGAGTTCAGTGGATCTCGTGCCAGGAGACATCCTCGTCATCTCTCCGGAGGGGATGCTGGTTCCCTGCGATGCCGCGTTGCTCAACGGCGAGTGCGTGGTCAACGAAAGCCTTTTGACCGGTGAGCAAGGGATTGGGGGGGGGGGGAACATGGACAGGCCAAGCCTGCTCATTGTTTTAAAGCAGGGGTCACCAACCTTTTGGACCTCAGGGACCACCAAACTCATAATTTTAAATCCCGCGAGCCATATGGGCGGCACAGCCTTGTATTCACAGGCAGCCTGGATTAATTGCTTTGGGGGGCTGACATTTCTCTGCGGACCACCAAAATTTTATCACAGACCACCAGTGGTCCCCGGCCCACTGGCTGGCAATCACTGTTTTAAAGTCTCCCCCATCAGCACACCTGCCTGCCTGGATTCCCCTATCAAGTACTTGTCATGATGCTACTTGCGGAGATTTCAGTGGCACCCTGGCGCTGGCTGACTTGGCTGCTTTCAAGTGACGTGGCTGCTTTCAAATGATGTGGCTGCTTTCAATTTTTTTCTTGGAGCTCCCCAACAAACCACCTGCTTTTTCCCAGGGGAGAGCACACCAGTCCTGAAGACCTCTTTGCCCAAAGGCCCGGAAGAGGCCAACACCACCTATTCCTCCGAAGACCACAAACGACACACCCTGTTCTGTGGGACGCAAGTCATCCAGGCCCGACCCTGTGGAGAAGCGGACGTCTTGGCAGTTGTGACACGCACTGGTGAGGGCGTTTCAGGGTGCTTCTTCTCCCCCCCAGCCGGTGTCGAGGCTGTCCGGCCTCCTGCAACCTCTACCTCCCCTGCACCCCTGTTCTCACGCCAGCCTTGCCGTCTCCCTCCCTCTTCCTCCAGGCTTCTACACAGCCAAAGGGGATCTCATCAGCTCCATCCTTCACCCCAAGCCGCTGAAGCTCAGGTTTCATAACGATGCTTGGAAGTTTGTCACCTTCTTTGCCATCTTGGGTAAGTTCACACACGCGGGATCAAAAGCGGATAAGGCGCCCACTGTCTCTTGTAGGGCTAGAGTTTTAGACATGGGGAAAGAGACCATCCGCCATGGGTTCAGAACGCTTCCATTAAGAATCAGGACCAGCTGAGGGTACTTAACCACTATCACTGGTTTGAGCCAAAAAGTTCAGGACATACAAGCCGAGCCTCTTTTGGACAAGGCATAGTTACAGACGGTACTTGGGAACAGCGTGAAGCTTCCGTTATCTCCTTCCCCAGCAATTGGGAGCTTTGCTGGTCCTCTGACAGCCTTAGATAATTTGTTTCTGCTGGGGTAGCCTTGTTGCGCCAGCAGGAGCTAGAATAGAAACCGTCCTTAGTCCCCAGCACATCCCACATGGCCTCGAAAGATCTGCCTCTATGCAGCTGAGGAGCTTCGGGGCTCTGCCTCCTCTGGCCACATCTGTGCAATATAACCTGCCTGTGAGTCCCTGTCTAACTGGAATCTCTTTGGCTGACCTCCTTCTGCAAGGCCTCTCCCAACGGTGCCGCCAGCTTCGGCTCTTTCCTTGTGGGTTTCTGTGGGCTCCAATGATACTCCCTCAACCTTGTTTTCTGGGGTACCAAGACTTTTATTTCTCTTTGCCCCAGCCGTCATAGGAACCATCTACAGCATCATCATCTTAAGGAGAAACAAGGTCAGTTCAGTGCCTGGAGGTCTTGGAATCGCTCTCACTACCTTCTCCCGGGTCTCCAGATGAGAACTATTCCAAAGATCGTCTGCCCTGGAACACACAACCCTCACCTCTTGGATGTCAAAGTTCCTTCCTTCCTTTTTGGCCAGCCACTCACTGGGTCTCCGCTACTGGGGGAGCATGGAGTCAGCCTCGGATGGCAGCAGGTCTGGGGGCAAGGCAGGCTCAGAAAGATTGGGCCTGGCTGATCTTCCCCATATGGAGGCTTCGCCACTGAACATCACCAAGAATCTTAACGAGACCTCGTTCCAATCTCTGTTGGCCTTTCTGGGTAGCTGGGAAGCCATTGCGCCCACCTGTTTCTCACACAGTCCCCGTTGGCAGGTTTCCCGGTGGCTGATAGCCCTCCGTGCTCTGGACATTGTGACAGTGGTTGTTCCCCCAGCCTTACCAGCTGCGATGACAATGGGCACCATGTACGCTCAAAGCCGTCTGAAACGCCAGGGCATTTTCTGTGTCAGTCCTCAACGCATCGATCTCTGTGGGAAGGTGCGCCTGGTTTGCTTCGACAAGGTGAGACCCCAGGAAGGGTGCTGGGGTCCTGGGTTGCCCGTCCAAGGATCTTAGCCGATTCTTATTTGGTTGGGGTTTCCTCCCAGACAGGGACCCTTACCGCTGATGGCATGGACATCTGGGGAGTCATTCCCCAGGCCGGCAGCTCTTTTCTGCCCATCATTCATGAGCTTCGTTGCCTGGATGACGGGCCGCTGCTCCGCTGTCTGGCCACCTGCCATACCCTCTCTCTGCTTGGAGATCAGCCCATAGGTGACCCAGTGGATCTCCGGATGGTGGAGTCTACTGGATGGGTGAGAAAGAAACGTGCCTCTTTGTTTAGGGAACATGGGTGCCCTTTCCAGGGTTCTCTTTGGCTATGTCCTCCTACATAGCCATCGCACTTAGACTTACATTCTAACCACTGCTCCATCGTGGCTCTTGTAGCATTAGCACTTAAGACTTATATACCACTTCACAGTGCTTTTCCAGCCCTCTCTAAACGGTTTACAGAGTCAGCCTCCTGCCCCCAACTATTTTGGCTCCTCATTTTACCACCCTTGGAAGGACGGAAGGCTGAGTTCAACCTTGAGCCTGGTGAGAATCAAACTGCCAAATTGCAATCAGGTGGCAGTCAGCAGAAATAGCCTGCAGTACTGCACTCTAACCACTGCGCTACCACGGCTCATACATGGTCAGAAATGGGTGAAAAGGGGAGGTTCCCTTTCCAAAAGGGAGAAGAACCAGCATTCCCCAGAGCCCCCCAAGACCAGCGTCCTATGTGACTCCAATTCCAGTGACCATCAGTTTTAGTTTTCTGGTCATCTTTGCCACACTAAGCCCTGTTCTCTATGGCTGAGCTTTAAAGTGGGATCCGTTCAAGGGGCACTGGACAAGGCAGCCCCTCCTCAGCCTCCTCTTTGCTTCTTGCAGTCTCTGGTAGAAACCGAAGAGCCAGAGGTGAAGGCCTGCCTGGAACAGGACTTTGGGACCGGAGCTCTGCTTGTCATGGCTCCTCCACTGCTACGAGAGCAGCTCCCCGGCATGGTGAGGGTCTCTCCTTCCTTGCGGCAGGAGAGTGGGGCGGGCTCGCAGAGGTTGAGAAAGCTCAACCATGCAGAAAGCAGCCTGGGCGAAGGTGGTTTGCGGGGCCTCCGGGAAAAGCCCACTTCCCCTTCACCCGTTTCACAAATCGTCTCCTTCTTCTGGCTGCTCTCGGGAGCTCAGCCATGGCCTCTCCTCCACAGAAGCACCCCGTCCCCGTGGCTGTCCTCCGTCGCTTCCCGTTCTCTTCAGCTCTGCGGAGGATGAGTGTTCTGGGGAAGGGTCCCGGCCACAGCCCCGTGGAGGCTTTCATGAAGGGAGCTCCGGAGACGGTGGCCGGCCTCTGCAAGAAAGAATCAGGTCTCGGCTGAAGTCTCCTTCGAGGGCATATGATGGGGGCGGGGTGGAGGATCTTCCTCGTGCTTTGTGACGGTGTGTCTTCCTCTTCTCAAAGGCCGCTCTCCCCTCTTGCTTTGCAGTGCCCCAGGATTTCCCACAGCAGCTGCACCGGTTCACAAGCGACGGGTTCCGTGTTCTGGGACTTGCTTACAAGCCCTCGGTGGCCGTGGGGAGCTTCGAAGAAGCCCAGGAAGTGACCAGGTGGGTGGACATCCAAGTCCTTACCCTTGTGTCCTGCCAGCCTGGCTTCCGAGATTCTCCCTGACAAATCCATCATTTTTGCTCTTTGGGTGATCTTCTTAGGAGATAAAAGAGACTTGACTTGGGCAAAAGGTTAAAAAAAATACCGGTGGCGTTTTGACATCCGAGGTCATTAAGTGCAGGATGGCACGGAAGATACATCGGTTGCTCCTTGCTAGTTCCCTAACCCAGACATACAGTGGCATCCTTGGGCTCTCTAGGGGCCATTAACGTTCTTATTACATGATGGAAAACTGATGGAGGTGACATCGCGTACCTGGTTGGGTTGGGAAACAGTAGCAAAATCGAGGAGGATTTTTTTCCTATGAATGGGGAGAAATGCAAAATTATTCACTGGGGCGAGATGGGAGAGATAAAATACATTTCCGAGATACCTGGGAAATGTGAAAAAGATGATGGATTGAATTGAATTGAATTCTCTGTTGTCATTGTATGCATATACACAGTATACATGCAACAAAATTCACATAACACCCAGAGACCAGACTCAACACGCACATGACAATCCACAAACACCTCCCCACCCGCCAAAATTCCCCGCCCCCTAAAAACACAGAAGCATCCACACAACAGACCAAGTAATACTGTCCAACAGCTCATTGATGGTGGTCCTTAATTTAAGTGCAATTATAGCTCTAGGATAAAAACTGCTCAGAAAACGTGTGGTCCGAGTTTTAATTGGTCTGTATCTTCTGCCAGAAGGCAACAGTTCAGAGAGATTGTGAGCAGGATGGGAAGAGTCTCTGAGAATGTTGTGCGATTTCCTCAAACAGCGAGATGTGAAGATGTCATCCAGGGCTGGTAGCTGGAGCCCGATGATATTCTGGGCAGTTTTTAACGATTCTCTGTAGAGCTTTTTTGTCCGCTACAGAGCTGCTCCCATATCATGCAAGAATGCTGTATGTCAGGACACTCTTGATGGTGCTGTGGTAGTAGGAAAGAAATAGATACCGAAATAGATTTATCTTCTTAAGAATTCTCAGGAAGTACAGCCTCTTCTGTGCCTTCTTCACAAGCATGTTAGCATTCATAGTCCATGAGAGGTCCTCCGAGATATAAGTGCCCAGAAATTTAAAACTACAACCCTCTCCACCTCCTCGCCATTTTATGTACAGTGATAATTGATTGGCGTTCATTGCAAGCAGAATACGAGCCAGTTTATATTGAAGGAAAGACTTTGCAACCAATGGGCGAAGAGTGAACGGCCCTTCTCTGGGTGCACTTGGACAGAGGCTGGGCAGAGGGGCTTTTGGCACAGAGCAGGGAGGATGATGCAGTGGGTCCTGGCACAGCCCACTGACGGACGCTTCCTCCTTGGGCAGAGACTGGGTGGAAATGGACATGATCTTCCTCGGGCTCCTAGTCCTCAAGAACGTCCTCAAGCCCGAGACGGCACCAGTCATCTGTGTGCTGCGCAGTGCAGGGATTCAAACCGTCATGGTCACAGGTGAGAAAAATGGGGTAGAGGCCGGGAAGGCTGGGTGAGGAGAGGATTGTCTTCTGCCTGCAAGACTAGAGGGATGTTGGTGGCTTCTAGCAGGGCTCAGGGCTCCCCTTTGCTCGTTTTGGCCTCAGGGGACAACATGCTCACTGCAGTCAACGTGGCAAGGAGCTGCCACATGGTGGAGGCGAAGGAGCGTGTCGTGTTCGTGAATGCCGAGCCTCCCAGCCGAGGCAAGGTAGCTGCCCTCACCTTCACTCCTTCAGAGCAGGTCAAGGTGAGACCTTTTCTTGGCTGGCCACCCTCTATGGCCCAGGTTGGCTGTGGGGCTCTTTCGGGGAAGGGTCAGGCGGTCAGGGTTGCATCTCTGCTATCCAAGCTTCATGAGCTGACAGCCTGACATTAGCCACGGTGGGGGGAAGGAGGCGGGAAAGATTGGAATGTAAGGAAGAAGAAGGGAGGGGATGGAAGTCCGGCTGAGAGGTGTGAGAAGCTACAGCCAGCCAAGGTCAAGTAACAATAGGCAGAGCTGGGAACCGAGAGCCTGTTTCCTAAACAATATACAAACACCAGATTGGACATTAGCAAATAGCTGGAGGAGTAGCGGGGACAGAGGAAAAATTACTTTGCATTGTTTGCGTGGGGAAAACCCCAGATTCAGCCGACGCTACTTCTGTAACCACCCAAATATCAGTAAAGTACACTCTTGGCAAAAACAAATGGCTTTGCTGGATGACTGAGTGGGACGGTTGAGAGTCTTTCCATTTTGCAAGCCCGGTCATCTGAATGGACCGCCAACCACGATGGTTCATGCTCAGCCACAGCTAGTATTTCGTTCCAGATGGAAGGGGGAGGTGTCCACTGTAATATGAGGGAGGGGAGGGCGAAGAGAAAGCCCTACCTAAACCAGGGCTCCTGCTGACGCGGGATGCCAAGCCCGAATGAAAAACATCCGGTGGTTTGCGGGACTGTTGCAGGATGCGCAGCAGCCAGAGAGCGACTTCCAGGAACAGCAGCCGTACTCCTTTGCCTTGAACGGGAAATCCTTTGCGGTCCTCTGTGAGTGCTTCCCAGCCCTCCTGCCCAAGGTAACACCCATGGGGGAGAGGAGCTGGATCACCTTGTCCCTGGTTCTCCTCAGACCAGCCACCCCTTCTTGCAGGACGCACCTGTTCCTGGCTGTCTACTAGGGTTCTCGCGACCAGCCTGCCTTCCGGCATCGGGCTGATGGGAGAATCGAGTTGAGCCCCCACCTGGCACCTGAGCACAGGCAGGGTGACCCTCTCTGCTTCTCGGCTCCTCCCAGGTCTTCCTCAGTGGCAGCAACAACTCCCGATCATCCCGGTTGTTGTTCCTCATTCCCAGAAGGGCCATGGCACAGCTCAACTCCCTCTGTTTGATGTCCTTTGCAGATATTAGTCCAAACCACTATTTTCGCACAGATGTTACCTGACCAGAAAACTCGCTTGGTTGAGCATTTGCAACATCTGAAGTAAGTATGGCTGGCTAGATTTCCCCACATTCTTCGGATGACGAGCTCCAACGATACTAAACGTACTAAAGGCTAGCTCCCCACCCCTCACTTTTGGGAGCCAAACCCAAGGTGGGTGGGAATTGGGTCTTCCGCTTTAGGGAACTGTGTGGTTTAGGCCTGTCGTTGCCTGCAGCTACTGCGTGGCCATGTGTGGAGACGGGGCCAACGACTGTGGAGCTCTGAAAGCAGCCGACGTGGGCATCTCGCTCTCCGAAGCGGAGGCCTCAGCGGCAGCGCCGTTCACTTCCCAGAGGGCCAATATCGAGTGCGTCCCCATCACCATTCGGTAGGTGGGATGGACTCTTTGGGAGCCACCGGGGGTGGAATCGATGGCCGCCTTTTTCCCATCCAGGTTCTCTTCTTCATGGAGAGGCCGGGAGTCTCGGAGACTTTCTTTGGGAGAGGGAAATCCAAATCCGGCCCCTTTGCAACAAGCTATGTTGACCATCTCCCGGCCTTCAAGCACCTGGCTAAGCAAACGGGAGTCCTCCCCCATCAGGGATTCAGGCTTTAACATTGACCACTGGGCCACTTCCCAGAACTAGGAAGTACGGCATCCTTCTCTCTCCGTCAAATCTGTCCCAAGTTTTTCATTCCAAGAAAGGCCTCGGCTTGGGGTGGGGTTCCAACTGCTTTGATCCTAGGTGAAATGAAACCCTGGGGTCTTCCCGCAGTGTTCAGCCCGCCACCGATTTTGTCCTGGGCTTCTGGGCAGCGTCTCACCCTTGAATGGGTTAAGCTGCTCCTGGGGGACACTCGGTGAAAGATTCCACGTGAAATTCAAGACGCCATGTTTAAGACCCGTTTGCAGAGAAATCGTTCTTTCTTGCCCGAGATGGAAGTTTCTGAGCACAGAATTTTTCCTCCCTTGTGTTCCTTCACCCCTTGAGCTCAATGCCTGTTCTCCCGGAAGGATGACTGGTCATTTCTTTTCTTTAGGGAGGGAAGATGCTCTTTGGTCACCTCCTTTGGCCTCTTCAAATACATGGCATTCTACAGCCTCACGCAATTTGTTTCTGTGCTCCTGCTATATACGGTAAGGCGGCCATTTTCCTTCCTGCCCCTTTAGCTCGCAGACTCCCGGAGTCCAGGTGAAGGTTACGAGCAGCGAGGTGTAGAAACCTGAGCGCCAGGTGTGGGATTTGCCCAAGGGATGGCATCAGGTATGGGAACTACATAAAATGACACCACTACCCCAATTAAAACAAAACGCATCACTGCAACCAGAAGATAATTTTTTAAAAAAAATTATGGGCTTAAATTAGCGGCTTCTGAATGAGAACAGAAATAGCCATGTGCAAAAGAGCTGCAAGAATTAAGCTTGAGCCTTCACTGAGTCCCAGAAGGGAAACGCGAACCGATTCATCCGATGCGCTAGAACAAGGGAGGCCTGGATTGGAAATCCTAGCGAGCAACTGAAGGACCTCCTGTGGTTGGGATGACCCCAGACCAGAGGCAGCTCCTGCTGTCGACTCATAAAATATTTCTGTGGTCTTTTAGAGTTGCCAACAGAAAGGGAGGGGGGGAAGGGGTTTGAAAGAGCAGTGCTCTCAGCTTGCAAACTGAAACTGCATTCCATAAATGTTTTCAAAGATAGTAACTAGGTGACCAAAGTTTCTGCCCTGCAAAATTCTAACTGGAAAGCATGATTGATGATTCCTGGGTATGGAAGTGTCCCATTGGAGGATATGAATTACGATACACCTAGAGGGGTGGGGGGAAACCAGGGTCAAGGCTGACAATGAATGATGTGTCTCAGAGTCAGTTACACCCATGCAATGCCGGCATGTTAACTCCCAATAAATCCTTTTTAATTTTTGGAAGCTTGGCTCAAGACTCGTGATTGAAATGGGGGTAGCTCCCGGAGCCCTGACACCTGCTTCTTGGGAGAACCCCAAGTTGTGGGAAGGTGACGCAAGCCAACGAACTGGGCTCTCCCAGCATCTGAGACGCAGAGGCTCTGCCCTCCTCAGCAGGGCAGCCATTGCATGTCTCCGTTTCTTCTGCCCCTCCCTCCTTCTTTAGCTCAACACCAACCTGAGTGATGGGCAGTTCCTGTTCATCGATCTCATCATCACCACCACGATAGTCGCTCTCATGGGCAAGACAGAGCCTGCCGAGGACTTGGGCCTCAAGCGCCCACAGGGAGCCCTGGTCAGCCTTGCCGTCCTGGGCAGCCTTTGCCTCCAAACGGCTCTCATCGTCGCACTCCAGGTCATCATCTACTTCATCACTGTCTCTCAACGGTGGTGAGTGAGGAAAGAGAGGAAGCCCAGAGGCTGAATCTCTCTGACTGCTTTTTGCACGGCCTCGCGGAGGCCGGGTCCTCAGTTAGTTCAAGCCCGCCGTGGGTGGGCCTTTCTCCCAGCCTCTGCAATCAGGCGGGGATGGGCAGGGTTCCCACCAGCCCAGACTCAAGACGCCTGCCCACCAGTGGTGGGATTCAAACATTTTTACTACCGGTTCTGTGGGCGTGGCTTGGTGGGCGTGGCAGGGGAAGGATATACTGCAAAATCCCCATTCCCTCCCCACCCCACTAACCTGCTTTGCAGCTCCGTTCTCCTGTAACCAAAGGTGACCCAGCCCATCAGCTGGGACTCGATGGGAGGCAGAGAATAGATGGGGCGGGGCCAATCAGAGGTGGTATTTGGCGGTTCTCCGAGAATTTCCACTATCAGTTCTCCAGAACTGGTCAGAACCGGCTGAATACCACCTCTGTTTCCCACTTCCCTCTCAGGTTCACCCCTCTGAACAGCACTCTGTCAGCCCCTGCAAACCTCCCCAATTATGAGAACACTGTTGTCTTCTGCACCTCGGGATTCCAGTACCTCATCCTGGCGGTGATCGTGTCCAAAGGCCGTCCTTTCCACAAGCCGCTTTATACCAATGGTGAGTGCTTCCGCTCAGCGGCTCTGCCAGCTGGAGGCCCTGGATGAGCCAGGCCCTGTTTCTCCCGGGCAGCCGCTCTTCTGCCTGGCCCCGCCAAAGCCTCGCCTGTGTCTCTCGCTCTCCGCAGTGCCGTTTTTGATGGCTTTGCTCTTGCTCGCTGGCGTCATGATCTGGTTGACCGTCTACCCACTGGCCTTCATGCAAAAGTTCCTGCGCCTGAAGAACGCTGGCGACCTGAGCTTCAAAGTGATCTTGCTGGGAATGGCTGCTCTCCACTTCTTCACGGCTTTCTTGTTGGAGGTAACAAAGGAGCCACAAAGCCGGGGAAGCAGACGTTTAAGATGTTGTCCAGGGCAATGGAAGCAGTTCATTGAGGTCTTTTTGTAAAGACCCTTTTCGCTGTGGCTGGGCAGGCTTGGCTTGGGAAAATGGGCCTCCACTGAGCCCCAGAAGGGAAACACAAACCGATTCCACCTGATGCGCTAAAACAAGGGAGGCCTGGATTGGAACTCTTGGCGAGCAACTGAAGGACCTCCTGGCTGGGATGACCCCAGACCGGAGGAGACTCATAAAATATTTCTATGGTCTTTTAGAGTTGCCAACAGAAAGGGAGGAGGGAAAGGGGTTTGAAAGAGCAGTGCGACAGCTTGCAAACTGAAACTGCATTCCATAAATATTTTCAAAGATAGTAACTAGGTGACCGAAAAGGCTGAGCGGCTGAGGGCTAGAGGGAGGAGAGCGAGCGGCGGTGGACTTCCTTGGAGCACCAGGAGACCACTATCGCCAGCCACGGCGGCTCCAAGCATCACCCGTTCCTGGTCTGCTTCTTCCACAGGTGGGCTTGGACCACGGCCTGCTGAACGGTTTCCGGAAGCTGCGACGCAAGAAGGCATCGAAAAAGCTGTACAAGCAGCTGCAGTGGGAGCTTAGCCAGGAGAAGAGCTCATGGCCGCCTCTCCACACTCCTGTCTTTGCCCCCAACAGACACTCCTCGGCTGCAAGATGACGCCAGTCGGTGACTTTCTGCCTGGAGGGAAGGCCCGCTGAGTCTCTGCCGAGGTTCCTTTTTGGATCTAGCGCCTTTCTCCCAGCAGATCCTCTCCCGAGATCCGCTGGGATCCTCCATCGACGGACCAAGGCAACTCTGAGACTCCTCTTCCCCTGTGGCATTTCTCACTCTTGTAAAAACATCGGAGAAGGGAACAAACTTGCATTTCTCTTTAAGCCACACAACCGATAGCGGAGTTGCTGTGCTGCAGAGGACCAATCTTCACCAGCCTCTCAGCCGAAGCCACGAGAAGTTACCAAGATTTCTGGCCAATCTGGGGAGGGTGGGTGGGTGGGTGACATCTTCCTTGAATCCACTCCTCCTCAAGCAGCCTTTTGTGTGTGTGTGTGTGCGTTGTTGTTGTTTTTAACGCATGTTGGCTAGGAGAAAGCCGGAGGAGACATCCCTTTGTCCAAGGTGAAAACGATGTCCCCTTTGCCCAACGACTTTCGGGCCTTTTGGCTGCCGGACAGGGAATTTCAGCACTTGCAGAACTTGTCCCACGTCAGAACTTCAAGCCAGAGGAAGATGAAGGGTTTGTCTCCAAGGGATGCTCCCTGGCCAGTCTGGGAATCGACTCCCTTCCACGGAAGGTCGTCTTCTTTCCACCGCGAAGAGACCTGCTCTGCTCTGCCTGGGCTCCTGCCATTTCTATTGATGAAGGATTCTTCATTAGCTTCCCGCGGACGGGCAACTTTGGGGGGCGGGATGGCTCCTTTACCACTCCAACTGAAAAAAAAGGGAGCCCGTGGAAGAGAGGACCAGAAAAGAGCTGGGACATTCCGTCTGTTTTGCTTCGGTTAGGATTTTCTCGTGCGTGTGTGTGTGTGTGTGAGAGAGAGAGAGTATATATATACAGTATGTATATAGGTAGTCCTCAACTCCACAGCAGAGTCCAAAATTTATGTTGCTAAGGGAGACGTTTGTTAAGCGAGTTCCCCCCTCCTTTTTTTAGCCACAATGGTTAAGCGTATCAGTGCAGTTCTCAAAATCAGTGACACCGTTGTTAAGGGAAGCTGGCTTCCTTGCCCGACTTTGGTCGCGAAAGGGGAATGTGGGACCCCATTCCAAGACACTCCACACCGCCATAAACATGAACCGCTTGCCAAGCATCCGAATGTAAATCACGTGACCATGGGGATGCTGTAGTGGGTCATAAGTCACTTTTTTCAGTGCTGTCGTAACTTCGGTCTCTGAGCGAACTGTTGTACATCGAGGACTATCTGTATATGTATATATACATATATACATTGTATGTATCAGAGGCGCATATTCAGCAGGTTCTGACCGGTTCTGGAGAACCGTTTGTGGAAATTTTGAGTCGTTCGGTGAACCGGCCAATCCCACCTCTGACTGGCCCCGCCAAACCCACCTATTCTCCGCCTCCCATTGAGTCACAGCTGATTGACTGGGTCTCCTTTGGTTGCCCTGCACAGGAGAACGGAGCTGCAAAGCAGGTTAGTGGGGTGGGGAGGGAATGGGGATTTTGCAGTATCCTTCCCCTGCCACGCCCACAAAGCCACGCCCACAAAGCCACGCCACGCCCACAAAGCCACACCCACAGAACCGGTAATAAAAAAAATTTGAATCCCACCACTGGTATGTATGTAAATATATTTGCCAGTTTTTTTTTTTTAATGTTAGCAATCACGTGGAGTTAGTTGGATATTCAGCAGAGCTTATTAAGCAATTAAGAATCAAGAAACAATAATGTATTAAATGAGTTAACTTTGCATGAAGGCGGTCCGGGACAAACACAGGGGGGCGAAACGTCTACTTTAAAGGTGGCCTGGCGAGGCCTGGCCAAGAGGCGAGTGAGAAATGGGCTGACCTGGGTCTTGCAGGCAGAGAGTTTTCCCGCCCAGGCATCCCGTGGGCCCTGCTGCAGCCCCTCTCTGCCCTAAGAGACGAACAGCTGAGAAACGGCCTGGAAGAGCCCATCAGCAGAGCCGGGCTACAGCCGAAGCCGATCGGTTGTTCCCAGGCACCTTCCATAGCTCACCTGTGGTCAGCATTCCCAGTGGCAGTGGAGAAACTGGCCAGAGAAAGAAAGGGCAGCTCGTTCGAACCCTCCAAGCCACAGGAAACCCCAAACCGGATCCCCTCAAGGGGATAGGAAGGCATCCTTTCTACCCGTCTCAGGCGACGGTAGACTGCCTCTAAGCCTGGAGGCTTTGGGGATCAGCCTCTGTCCAAAAGCTGCCGCCTCCAAGCCAAAAAGCACATTGCGCTCAAGAGCCCCAGCAAAAGTGTTTCGTGCACGGCGGGCTCGCTGCAATGCTCCGCCGTGGACACTTGCGATAAAACCCCCACTGGATGAACAAGTACACCTTGCGTGGGGCCGGCCTCCCCTGAAGCCTGGCTGCCGTGCTGCAGCTGCAGCTTGTGGAGGGAGGGTGGGGGGGTGGGGGGAACCTCTGGAAAAGTTCTGCCTTGAGAGAAGTTGGCGTTAGGACCCAGGAGGGAGGCTGCGGTGGTGGTGGAGGAGGAGGAAGAGGAGGGGAGGCCTGGCTCCTTCAGCCTTTTTGGAAAGCAAGACCCGGGCGAGGAGGAGAGAGAGCAAAGCCAGCCAGCCGCCTGAGAGGGAGAAAGACATCCCCCCCGCCACCAAGTCGGTAAGTTGGCTTAAGGGCGCCAGGGGTTTTGGGGGGCAGGAAAGGGGGGGGGGTCAGACCTCGCAAAGGAATGCAAGGGGACGCTCTCTTCGGAGGTGCCCATGCAGGGGAACGCTCTCCTTTCAGAAGAACCCTTTTCGCCACAGAAAGAGCCCCCAGCCCCTCTCCTCCTGCTCCCCCCACCATCCTTTCCAAGTTGCCAGGCAAAAATTCCCCCAAAGAAAGAAACCAAAAAGGTAAAAAAAAATTTGCCTCTGAATTTGACCATTCAACATCCTTGCGGCCAGGAAAGGTGGGGGGGGGCTCCCCTTTTGTTCTCCTGCTCGGGGCAAAGGGGGGGGGGGGGGGGGGGGTGGGGGGGGGGGATGGGGAGGTGGAGTTGTAGAGGGCTGCTGGCCGTTCTTGGCTTCCCCGCAGTTGGCTGATTGCTGCCAGATGTGCGTCTGCTTTCTCTAAAACAGGAAACTTCTGCCTCTTGAGCCCCTTCCCCCTCTTGAAGGGAAGCCAAGCGGGGTGGGTGGGGGGGGGTGGAAGAAGTCCGGCAAAGGGGACCTGGGGGCCTTGGGGTAGCCTGGCCCTACCTCCACCCGTCACCCGCATCAGCAGCACATTCCCCGCACCTACCTGGTCTGGCAGGAACCTGGACTTCTGAGCCAACCTGGGCTTCTCCAGACCGTTTTTCTCAGCGTGGAAGCTTTTACTGGCTAGCCTTGCCTCGGGCTCCGTCCTCCTTGGCGCTGGAGAGAGTAGGCTGGTACACCGGGAGGGTGGCGGGGGGGGGAAAAGCGCTTTCGGCTCCAGTGGGAAATGGACAACCCTGGAAAGTTTGCACAGCCACCCAGCAGGATCTGCTCCTTGGGTCTCTCTTAAAACTCTGCGGCGAGAAGCGAATGCATCGTCGCTTGGCCTGGAGCGGCTTTGGGCCAAAGCCGCTGGCCTGGCCGAGTCTTCTTTCGTTTCTTTCTGCCCGCTTTCCCTCGCCACTCCTGCAGGGTGGGATAGGGGGGAAAAAATTCCAGCAGGTGGTGGTGGCGGGGGGTGGTGGAGAAAAGGATGCTTTGGTCGTTGGAGATCCACTGGAAGCAGCATTCTGGGCTTCCTTGAACAGACCAGGAAGGTTGGGGTTCAAAGACGCAGCGATAGGAAGAGTTCCCACGATCCTTGATGGCAGAATCTCTGGGCTGTGGAGGGTCCTTCGTGGCTAGCCAGGCACTTCGACGCAGAGGCCCATGGATCGAGCCTTGCCCGAAGCAGACCCTGCCTCCACCCCCACCCCCCACACACACTAACAGTCAGAGGTCCTCAAACTTGGCAACTTTAAGACTTATGGACTTCAACTCCCAGAATTCTCCAGCCAGCATAGCTTTCAGACAGTGAGGAGGTTGGCAGGGGGGAACATGGGCCACTCCTGGAGTCTGAGCAAGGCTCAGATGTGGGCTCTGTGTCAGAGGCAGAGATGGGGCCAGGGGCCGTTTGACAGTTATCAGCTGCCTTCGGAGTCGGAGATCAGTGGGGCAGAAGAGCAGCTGGAGCCTGTTCCCAGTGTGCGCATGCACAGAGCTGCCAGAAGAAGGGAACAGCTAAGAAACAAGGGTTGACTCGGGAGTAAGATCACGGGTGGACGGTGAATGGCCCCTCCGATAGGGAATAAAAGACGAGCGAAAGGGGAGGAGTGTTTTCAGGAGACAATTTTGGGAGTTGAAGTCCACACGTCTTAAAGTTTGCCAAGTTTGGGGACCCCTGCTAACAACGAAAGCTTGGGAACCACACCAAGGATGTTCCTTGGTTGACAGGGCAAGTTTTTAAAGTCTGCAAAAAGAGGGTGGGGGATGAGGTTCTGCCTTCCAATCCCAGCAAGCCCAGAGCTAATGAGCATCCTGTGTCTTTCAGCTCGGCTCTGATTCAGCTGCCTCTGTAGCCCCCCCCCCCCCCCCCGCACGGGGGACCCGGGGCCCCCTCCCCCCCCCCCCAGGGGCTGGGGGGGGGGGGGGGGGGGAAGGGGTCCCTCACACATACAAGGCAAGAGGGCCCGGAGAAAGGGACGTCCAGCTTTTTGCGGATGTCACATACACAAGGACACACACACACACACACCAGGCATGAGGCGTGGAAGGGGAAGGAGGAGGCCCACCTGCGGTGGCTCTCTGGGTTGACAATGCTGGCAAGGGCCCCAGCTGGGCAGCTGTAGGGCCACCTTGCAACAGCCGGCCTCAGTTTCTCCTCCCTTCCCAGCAGCTCTTCTGGCTCAGGGGCAGTATGACCTCGATGACCCTGCCTATCCCGAGCCCCCGTACGCCCCTTACGAAATTGGTGAGTACTGACAAGGGTCCGGGGGACGGGCACGGCCAATCCCGTTCAGAGGATGGACCCTGGTTTCCTAACAGGAGCTTGATAGGCCCTCTGGCCTCTCTCTCCCTTCTTTTCAGAGAGTCAAGATTATTACGATTACGCCGGGAACGGTGAGTCGGTCCGGGAGGCCAAACCTGGCGCAGCCCGCTTGCCTGCCTCGTGAAGCAGCCGTCCTCCTCAACCTTTCTGGGCCGGCGGGCCGGCACTGTGCGTGTGTGTGTGAGGATAGTAGGTGGGATAGTAGGTCCTTGTGAGTGGTAGGTGGGCGCTTTGCTCGAGGGGAGCAAGCGGCCATCCCTCACACAAAGGGAGTTTCGCACGTGCATTCACACACACACACCTGCTGCCGGTGCGGCTCGGTTCCAAACAGGCTGCGGCCGCCTCCCAGGGGTTGGGAACCCCTGTGGTAAAGGCAAAAGGCTAAAGCAAGCACTGCCCCCCACTCTCCTCTGCCCTGCAGATCTCTCCCCCCAGACTCCTGAGGAGCACTACCAGTCCCAGCAACAGAACCAGCAGGAGGTCATCCCCGCCCCAACCCCAGGTGAGCAGCCTTTGGGACGGGGTGGTGGTGGTTGGAAGAGAGTTACTCCCCGCTCTGCAACTGCCTGGCTTCGGCCCAGCTGCCTCCTCCGTACCACACCACACACACACACACCCAACGCTAACACAGTTACTCACACTTTGCTCCTATCTGGGTCTTTTTTTCCCCCCCTTCCCCTAGGCGTTTCTGAGACAGAGCCCACCGAACCAGGGCCCCTCGGTAAGAGATCGCCAGCTCTAAAATGAGTCCCTCTTCCTGAGGTCTGGCAACAAAACAAGTTGGTTTGGGCGTCCCCGCAGGATCCTTCCTCTGTCCCGGAGAGGCGGATGTGCTGCTGGGGAAAGCGGGTGGTGGTGATGGAGGAGGGAGCGGGTTCAAAGCCAGCTAAAGACTCCTGGGACTGAATGGAGCCCCCACCCACCCTCTCCCCCGTCTTGTTCTTGGCCTACAGACTGCCAGGAGGAGCAGTACCCCTGCACCAGGCTGTATTCCATCTACAAGCCTTGCAAACAGTGTCTGAACGAGATCTGCTTCTACAGGTGAGGGTGGCCGCAGTTGGATCAGGACCAAACCTCTCCCCCTGCCCCCCCCCTTCTGCCCCCCTCCTCAAGCTTCTCTCCCCACAAGCTGACTCGGGAGGGCGTGTTTGCAATCCGGCCCTGCAGGAAACGCTGCAGCCGCCGCCGATCCTACGGGGGGGGGGGGAAGCTTTGCGGGCGGGCGAGGGGCGGGAGGGCTGCCTGCCGATTCAGTGGGAAGTCGGGAAGGTGGGAGGGAGCAGCTTCCAGTCTCCCTTCAACGGGTCTGTCGTGGTGAGGGGTGTGGGCAAAGGGAGACATCCCCTGGCCTTGTCCGCGTTCAGCCTCCGCAGGGTCTACGTGATCAATAAGGAGATCTGCGTCCGTACGGTTTGCGCTCACGAAGAACTCCTAAGAGGTACGCACAGAGAACGAAGGGCCCCGGGCTTCCATTTTGTTTTGTTTTTTTACTACCTGTGGTTTTACTACCTGTGGTTCTGTGGGCGTGGCTTGGTGGGTGTGGCAGGGGAAAGATACTGTAAGATCTCCAGTCAGAGGTGGGATTTGCTGGTTCTCCGAGCTACTCAAAATTTCTACTCCCAGTTCTCCAGAACTGGTCAGAACCTGCTGAAGTCCCACCTCTGGCCCCGGGCCCTTGGGCGCTCCGGTCGTGAAGGTTACCGGGGCAGCTGTTTCGGGGCACCCCTTCCCAGCAGCAGCTTTGGGGGCAGCTTTGCCTAAAACTTGGGCGAAGTGGGAGGGGTAGAGAAAGAGATGTGGGGAATTCTACTCCTGACGGTGGATCCCCTCCTGCCTTCCCCCACCCCTTCCCCCAGCCGACCTCTGTCGCGACAGATTCTCCAAGTGCGGCATCATGGCGACCAGTGGCCTTTGCCAGACCATGGCCACCTCTTGCGCCCGGAGCTGTGGCGGTTGCTGAGCGGGGAAAGGGGCCGTGTGGGCAGGGGACGGGAGGCCCTTCTGGACCACGGATGATGCCCCTGGTTCGTGCCCGGAGGGACAGCGGGCCCTTCTTGGGGTCCCTTCCTCTGCCACAGCAGTGACACACCTGCAGGGCTGCTCACGCATTCCAGGCGTGACTCGGGCAGGGGTCTCCGCAAGGACCCAACCCTTGCCCCTCCAGAAATGCCGACCTTCACACAACCTACTGGATGGGTTTGATTGCCTTGTAATTGCAAGTTTTTATTTTTTTGTACGCACCGTTTTTTCCCCCCCCCCCCCCTTGTTTTCTACAAAACGATTAAAAAAATAAATAGACCAAATGTGTCACAGTTTGATTCATTAAGTCTGAGTTTCCCCCCCCCCCGCCCCCGACAAAAGATGGGGGCACTACGGGACCACCCCCCCTTTCCTCCCTGTGTTTTCACGACCCTCCCAAACGGAATTGGAGGTGGGAGAGGGAGGAGGGTAACGCTCAAGTCTTTCATTACAAACTATCCCCCTTCTACATAATGAGGAGCAAAGCCCGTAAAACCAACAATTCCGCGGATATTAAAAAATAATAATAACTTTCTACTTTCCTTGATTGGCTGCTACCTAAAGAGCCGCTAGCAGAGAAAAATGCACACCCGATTTGGGAATCTACGGTTAAATAAAAAAATAACGATCCTTCGCCAAGGAGCTCCTTGGCCCACCCTGGGATGCAAACGCTGCTCCAGGCAGTGGGGGGGGCAAGGGGGTGTCCTTCCCCAGCCAGAGACCAGGCCAGGACTGGCTCACCTTCACCTCCCCCGCCCCGGTTCTCCATCACGGAACGAATGGCGCCATCTTGGCACCAGGCCGGCTTGGATTGCCCCTCGCTTCCACCACCACCCCGGGGGGGGAGGGGGTCCTTTTCGGTTGTCTGTATAGGGGACGAATTCTTCTTCTGATCCAGCTCGGATCCGACCACCGAGGACTTCTTGGAAAAAAAATTCTTTTTAAAAAAAAAATAAGGAGCATTTCGCACTACCTTGCGCTGTGCGTGAATCTAGGCCCTGAAGGGTTAGAGGTCGGGGGGCCCTTCTTGACGTGGCACTCCGCAGGGATGACGGGGCTCGGCGCCTGCCACAGCTAGTGTCCGGAAAAGAGAGGGGGGGCTGGGAAATAAGGCTGCCCCTTCTTGGTGCCTTGATGCAGCTGCTCCTTCAGAGTCGAGATCTGTGGGTGGAGGGTGCGGGTGAGAAGGGCCCCTTCGGGGTCCAGGCAAGAAGGGAGTCCGGGGGCGGCAGCACCGCAGCGGAGCCAGAGTCCCCAGGAGGGAGGGGAGCTCTCACCTGCTCTTCCAGACCTTTGGCTCCGGGGCGGAGGGAACCGCTCAGGCGCTCGCTCTCCTGCCGCTGCGGCGCAGCCGCTTTGCCAAGAGGCTTCTTCCCCTGGGTCCGCTCCAGCTCTGCCACTTGCGCCTAGGGAAGGGAGGTCGCTATTAACGTCCGTCTGGCTCGCCAGCCCCGTCCTGCCTACTTTCATTCTCCAAGTCTCTCCCTTCCACTCGGCTGGCCGCCTGGGCCAGCACTGACCTCCAAGGAGCCGAGTCATGGTTTTCCTCCAGCAGGCCAGGGAGCACAGACCCCCGGTTCCTACCCAGGAAGCTGGCGAGGTTTGTTCTGACCTGGGCTTCACAAAATCATGAAGCGGGACTCCTCATCCCGACAAAACCCTTTTTTTTTAATTTAGGCTAATGTGAATTCCTCTCATTCACATGCAGCAAAGTCCCAGCAAACCATCTTTCAAGAGTGATTCACAACCACAGATCTTAATCGGGCTTGGAGAGTTGCCAGGCCGATAGCTCCCAAGGGCAACGCTGTACCAGAAAATACTTGGCAAGGAGTCAGGAACAAATCTTCACTCTAATTAAATGAACTAATTGTCTCCTGCAAAGACTCCTCCCCTTTCGCTTTTTATTCCCTATGGGAGGGGCCATTCACCGTCCACCTGTGCTCTTACTCCCGAGTCAACCCTGGTTCCTTAGCTGTTCCCTTCTCCTGGCAGCTCTGTGCATGCACACACTGGAAACAGGCTCCAGCTGTTCTTCTGCCCCACTGATCTCCGACTCCAAAGGCAGCTGATAACTGACAGACAGCTTAGCCCCATCTCTGCCTCCAATGCGGAGCCCTCGTCAGAGCCTTCCCCAGACTCCAGGACCAGCCCCTGCTCCTCCCCACTGCCTGAGTCTGCCACCAATTCTGCTGGCTGCTGGTGGGCCAAACAAGAGCTGAGACACACACTCTTCGAGGCATCCACAGGCATCCACAGAGACTGTCACCCTCCAGAGTCCATGGCCACCGTTACCTCCAGCTGCCATATCTGCTCTTGGGCTCCCATCAGCTCTTGCTCTGCGCCCGTGAGGGAACGATCGAGGCGCCCCTTTTCCACCGACAGTCGTACGGAGTCCTCGTGAGTCTTCAGCTTCTCGCGCTCCACCTAGCAATCCCACCACGCCTCAGTGGCTGCACAAAGGCTCCCGCGACACACACAGCCAGCGGGAGAGGATTTAGAGAGCATAAAACACTCTGCAGGAGCCCCACAATTAACCGGCGCTCCCGTGAGCTGAGCCCCCGTGCCCCATTCATTCCCTCCCCTCTGGCAACCTGCTCTCGGTCCTCTCCGGGCCTCCCCAAGGCCTCTCCTCTCTCGCCTCCCCCAAAGCCGCATGGCTGACCTTGTCCAGGGTCCTCCGCAGGGCGCCCTTCTCCTTTTCCAAACGCAGGGACAGGCGCTCGGCTTCCCGTTTCTCGCTCTCCAGCTGGGCCAGGGCCTTCTGCAGACTGCCCAGGCGCTCCTGGAGTAGGCGTCGCTCCTCTTGTACCTTCTGGAGCTTCCTCAGAGCCGCTGCTTCCCCCTCCTGGCGTTGGCGCAGGAGCTGCAGGTGGGGAGAAGAGGGCGTTGAGGGCGAGTTTTCCAGGCAAGACTTGCCCCTGCCCGCCGATCCCGGGAACGAAACCAGTTCTTTATAGGAATGCCCAGGAGGCGTCTCATCCCACCTGGACCTCGGGCTCTTCTTCGTGACAAGGCAAACCAGGGGCATCTCCGCGGGCTCAAGGGACTCACCTCTTCCTGCTGTCTCCCCAGCCCCTCCAGCTCCTCCTTCTGAAGCGCCAGCTCAGCCTGCTGCCCCTTCAGGGCTTGGAGGCGCTCCAAAAGCGCCCCGTTCTGCTTCTTTGCTTCCAAGAGGGCCTGGCGGGCTGCGTCCAGTCGCTCCTGAAGGGGATATAAGATGGAGGGATGGGGGGCCGTCTCTCTCTCTCTCTCTCTCTCGGCAGAGCGACGGCCACCTTTGGCAAAGGGAGGTGCTGCCGGTGGGGGCCCGGCCTTTCCGCCCAAAACACACCCACCTGTAAGACTCTCTGCTCATGCGCGCCGGCTGCCAGGGCCTTCTGCAACTGCAGCAGCTTCTCCTGGGCCGAGACGGAGTTGCTCTGGCTCTCGGACAAGGTGGCCGTCAGCCCCTGCACCTTCTCCTTCAGGGAAGTCTCAGAATCGGCAACCTTGGCCAGTGAGAGGTTGAGTTGGTCCAAGGAGCGCTGCAACGCGCCGGCTCTCGCCTCGCTCTCAGTCACCTGGTGTGGCGGGAACGAGCCAAAGTAAGGCTGGCTGGCAGCGGGGCAGCCTAAGGCTCCTCTCCGTGCTCTTCCATCAAGCGGGGTTGGGGGTAGGACCGGACCCTGGGGCGGTCGTGCTGAGGCCCCCGTGGTCACCTGGGACCTCACCTGCCTCTGCATGAGAGTGACGCGCTCCTGAAGAAGCTGGAGCTCAGCCTCGCGGTCGCTCAGCACCACCTTGGCCCGCTGCAGTTCCCCCTCCAGGGACTTCCGCAGGAGCTCCAGTTTGGTGCTGCGGCTCTCCGCACTGCCCAAGGAATCTCTCAGCCGTCGTTTGTCCACCTCCAGCTTGGCCTCGTTGGCCTTCATCTTGCTGAGTTTCTCCTGGAACAAGCGAGAGGGTGGGGAAAGTGATCCTAATTGACTCTGGCTGGCCAGGCTGATCCGGAGAAGGCCGGCTGGGAAACAGGCAAGCTCTATGGGGAACACAACCGGCTTTGCTGCCGCTGCTCCGGCTCAGCACACGGCACAGCAGGCTGGCTCTAGAAACTGGAGTTCAGGAGACGGAGCTGGGATGGGGAAGCCATCTTCCACCTCCACCCTTTCCTCAGAGGGTGAGAAGGACGGGAGAATCCCCCCCAGAAACATGCACACGCTCCCCACATGGCCGATTTTTACTGGAGAGGAAAGCTGCTCCCCCTGCACCCCCACCTGCATGGCCCTCTGCTCGCTGGTGGCCGCTTGCAGGTCGTGCTCCAGCGCAGCCAGCTTCTCTGCCTGGGCCTTGCGCTCTCGCTCACTCCAGCGCAGGGTCTCCTCCTGGAGCATCAAAGCGGTCTGGGCTCCGGTCAGCTTCCCATCGAGGCTGCGCCTCTCTGTGGAAGGGACGGCACCTGGGCTCAGGATGCGGCTCCCCAGGGCTGTCTTCCCCTTTCCTTGGGGCAGGCGGGCAGCTCTAGCGACCCGTGGGCCGAGCCCCCCGTTCCTCAAGGGCACAAGCCAAAAGAAGATGGTGGGATTCAAAAAGTTCTACCGCTGGTTCGGTGGGCATGGCCCGGTGGGCGCGCTTTGCGTGCACCTGCACACCGAACACGCGCTTTGCGCAGGCGCGGAGGCGTTCCAACTCACCTCCTGCAAGCCTGCACTCTCCTGGTCTTCAGCAGCTTTGCATGGCACTCTTCTATGCCACGCAAAGCAGCTGCGCTTCAAAAGTAGAAGATAAAGGTGGGTACGTGAGCCCCGGTGGGCGGCTGGGCCCAACAGCAGAGCGGCGGAGAGGAGGTTCGGTCTCCGCTGCTCATTGGTGCTACCGGCTCGGTACAACCGGGCCGAACCGGTAGCATACAACCACTGCCTCCAAGGGGAAGACGTGGCCATCCTGCCTCGGCTGCCGGATGCTGCAGCCGAGGGCCACCGTACTTTCTTGAACAACTACCTTTTCAAAACTTGACCTGTATTTATTCGGGAGAAAGGGCTTTGCATATTCTCATCTTCTTTCTCGAAGTATATCCCGTGAGAAAAGCCCTACGCAGAACAAAC